ATAGGGTAGTGTGGTATATAAAAGAGGGTGACAACGTGACGGTAATGTAATGTGTGTACCTAGTGAGTAATTGAACTGCAGTCAGAAGTATAGTTGACGTTCGTTGACATAGCGTTTGTTTTAGCGTGATTGTTGAAAATAAATGTATCGTAAAGTTGTATTCGGAAAGAATAAACCAGTTTTATTAAGTAAGGACTTGTGTCGCTAAACTTTCGTCGGAACGAAGTTACGGGAAGTTAATTAACAAACGGAGACGTAACAATACGTTGTGGTAGTAGCGATTATACAGGAATATGTACTTTACATTCCACATTTTTGAACTCTCGATAAAAAATATGGTTTAAAAATATGCTAATGATTTTGAAAGTTCAGGTAAAGTGCCTATTACATTCCGGTGTAAAACATTTATGCCGTACTTATTCTAAAAACAACAATAACATGTTTTTTTATGATAAACACAGAATTAATTTCATATAATAAAGGAAATGGGATGAATTTATCCGCATGAAATAAATAATTAATTATAACAAATACTTTTCTGATAAGTGTTCTGGTTACTTCAGCATATTTTGATCATAGGAAGTTGTTGAAACACATATCAACACATATTATTAATTCTCACAACAACATAAAGATCAGAAAAAGTCTTTTTTATCATACCAGAGAATAATCATAATTTTTGTAGGGTAGACCTCTCAGTTGATCATTACAATTAGACGCCTTTGCTACAAATCGACGGCGGATTGCCACACCTCTTTCAGGATTATCGAGAAGAGACTCCAGTTTGTAGGTAGCAATGTATTTTTTCTCTAGTAACAAGAGTACTTCTTGATCACTCAGTTTTTCTGATCCTTCCTAATTGAAATATACCAATTATTCCTTTAGGAAATATTAAACACTGGTTTCATATTTAATATAACATTATTACCGCCACCTCAAATAAAAGAAAATATTTATTCAATATAACAGAATTATTTTTTTTATAAATTATCATACTAAAAATTAAATGACCTCTATGTTTGTATCACGTAGTTTAAGTTGGAACAATAAGCCAAAAACTATACATATATACTTCTTTACACTGAAAACATATATTTAAGATAATTTATTTATTTATTTTGTTTGTTGTTAAGCACACAGCTACACGATGGACTATCTGTGCTGTGCCAAACAAGGGTATCGAAACCCGATTTGTAGTGTTATAAATCTACAGAGTAACCACTGAGGCACTGGGGAAAGCTTTTTAAGATAATCAAATTAAATTAAACAAATCCATATTTTCAAATATCTTTAAGAGATGAACTCATAAGCACTTGTTTGGATTAACATGCAGTACACATTCATCTTTAGCATAGAGACAGTTACTTAAATTGATTTTTTTATTGAAATTATTAGTGCACCCCAAAAGGCTGAAAATTAACCATTGGCATCTAAACAATATGTGTACATTAAAGACAATTGTACAGGGCTAATGAGCTAAGTGCAGTTCTTCATATTAGTAATTGTGCCACTACTTATCCATCTGCAATGTTGAATATAGATGGTAGTCCAAGTGATGAAAGAAAAATATGTAACATAATCATCGGAAGGAACCAAACCCTAGTTCAAGTCAAACAACAAAACGGCAACTCTTAAACTGTAAGTGTTTAAACCGAGAGTAATCGGTAAGTAGGCTAACTACGATGGAAATGTCTATTTGAGGTATAATTACAAAGCATGTATATTTCAGGAAAAACTCACTAAGATTATTGCATATGTTCATTATGATATATGGAAAAATAATTTCGTTATTGGTATCCAAAGAAACATAAGTTACATTTTTGTATGTTGGTTTGTACGATGTTCTTATTAAGAAACAATCGACTAAGGCAAAGAGAACATGTTTCACACTGGGAAAAGGAGAGAAACTGATATCCAGAAAGTAGTGATATTAAAATTACAGTTTATATATTATGCTAACAGATGTATTGGATAATAGCTGAACTGCCTTTGTTGCTGTTACTAGACATGTTATACAAGCATAAGGTAGATGTTTTACTGTGCTGGGGGAATTCTCAGAACTAAGCAGTGGCTTAAGTATGTACCCGCATCCCCCAAAACTGTGGGGGAGGGGAGCCAAAACGGGGCCCGAAGGACCTGAAAACTTAATAAATGCTGACAAAGGAAGAGACGCCTTAAATTATAAGGAAATAAATGTAGGGAGTCCTCACTTTTTTGTAGTGTTGGTCCATCTTTTGTATTTACGCCGTTGGAACTAAGGCTTGGGTAATAGAATCTAAGATATTAGAAACTCTCCAGGAAGCGTTGACAGTGTACAGAGTATAAATGAAGTGGATGGAAACAGTATAGCAGTTATGAACAGGTTCAACCCAAAATTTAAGAGAAACTTTATGAAACTTGGTTGTAATACTAAGATCACTGGCATAATCACATTGTATTGTCCTTTTGATGTTATTACACAAACTTAGATAAATATTAATCAGAGTTCCAGCAATATAATTGGAGGATTCATTAAAAGCATTGGTTTGAAGAAATTCAAGGAAATGTCACCAAGGCCAAAATAGTTTCTCTATAAGTTCACTTTTTGTAATTCCTAAAATGAAGAGCATTTTAGTATTTAGGCTAAATTTATATCAGGTCTAACTAAAAGGATTTTTTTAAACCCTTTCTTTGAAATGTATATCTTAAATTGACCAGTATATAAACTTAAGTACATTACAGACATTACAATGAGAGTTCTGGCAGGGGATGTTACACAATGACGATAACAAATAAAAGTGCTGAAGAAAGACTGGCAACAAAACCAAATCATCCTGGTATCAGTGATATTAGGCTACTAATGAATGTTGGCTAAGCTAAGCGCGAAACTTATCGTTAAGTGGACTGGGCTTTTAATTATTCTTTTTACTCGATAATCCAGAAGAACATAACCAATAATATAAACCATTACAACAATGGCATCAATACTGAGATTGCTTTGGTAAAAATAAAATAAGATACAGACCCAACTCGATGATATTGTTACGACAGCGGAGGTCACGTGACGCTAGTACCACGTCATGCGCTTCTAGAACGTTCATGAAACCTCGAGAGG